GCCTGATGTGTTTCGCCGTCGCCGTCGTCGCTCCGGATCAATGAAGTGTATCGTAATGAGTTATGAAATTCATACGTATCTTTTTGCACGCCCCCCCCCCTCTTTTTTTTACAGTATTAACCAAGACCAGTATTAAGCAAGAACGTGGTTTTTGTTGATGTTGTTACGAGGCTGCAGCAGCCTCGTGCGGAAGGAATTTCATCATGTTGTACTCGGCGCGTAATGTATTCCCGCGCGCGGGGAATGACAGGGGGGAGGGGGAGAAATATGCTAATCAAAAAGGACTTTCAGTTTGGAATACATATACGCAGACACGTCGCCTTGATTCCTATTAGAGAGAAAGAAAATGTGTCAAGTCGACGGAAAATTATTACGTATATGCATCGATGTGTGTCATCATTAGGCGCGTAATATTCTAAAGTTGGTCGCGCGTCATTTTCACTTCCGTATACATCGCGCGATAAAGTTTAATGATCGAAATATAATAAATAATTGATGCCGGAAGTGAAAAGTAAAAATAAAGAGCATAACGTTCAGCGCCAGTGAAATGATTTCGTAATGATGCAGACAGATGCTGCGCGACTCGTCTAATGGCGTTTAATTGATATAGCATTATGATTCGAAAAAAAAAAAACAACGTTTCATTAACGTGTCGATATTAATAAAATTTCGTAATATTACAATATAAATTAAGAGAATCGCGACGATATGTCCAATCATTAAAATTATATTTTCACAGATATGATACAACATGATAGCTAATTAAAAAATTTATTATCGCAGGTTTGTTAATTTAATGTCACCATATTATATACCATATGTCACCCATATGTCACCAATTTTCTTACAACATAATTCGGACGAGTGGTCGTAAATCAACATAATCATTGGATATGGTACATAAATTATTTACATTATCTATACCCAATCAAAGTTTTATATCAAAATGAGGTCGAAGTTCATTTTCCTGCCTCTACGAAATTGCCGAAATTCGCGTTTGATTTATATTTCTCGAAGAGAATTTACAAAACGTGATTTTGATGTATACAATTCGAATCAAACTACGAAGAACGAGCGCTTTATGTACTTTGACTTCTCATTTTATAAATAAAAAATTGAATACGCGAGGGGTAGGGGACGCAGGGGGGCGTACCAGACTAAACTGGAAAATCCATAATTACTACGCAGATTTTCCAACCGAACAAGGAAAATGCATTCCAGTCGAAGAATACGGGGCATTTTATGTTGCATATGTGAAAATATATATATAAATAATATTATTATATATAATAAATAATAAGAGATAACGAAACGTGGTAAGGCGTAAGAGGCGCAGAAACGCGACTGCGATCGTTATTGCAAATCGTCGTTATTCATATATTAGACTCGAAGAGAACACGTCGACAATGGGCAATGGCGAATTTGGCTGCAGCGCAAAATTCTAGACAGAATTGGAAAGATAAAATCGAAAAAATTCTCCTATTTGCCTAATTCTCGGCTTGATGCAATTTGTCAGACGCTGACAGACAGACGTGATCGAAAGGCGGGTGCAAAAGCGTTAATGTCTGCGTTAATGTGGAGGGGACAAGGATCCCTACGTATATATG